AGTCTATGAATTAAAAAAGCCAAGGACCAGACAGATACACAGCCGAGTTCTACAAGACCTTTAAAGAATAACTAATACCAATGCACTCCAATTTATTTCAGAAAATAGAAAAAGAGGCAGAACTTCCAAACTCATTCTGTGAGGCCAATATCACTCTTATTCCAAAACCTGACAAAGTCACATCAAAAAACGAAAATTTCAGACCAATATCTCTAAAGAACATAGAYACAMAAATTCACAATAAAATTCAGGTAAATGAAAAACAAAAACATATCTTGGAAAAAATAAATCAAATTGATAAATCCTTTGGCATGCTAATGAAGAAAATGAGAGAAAACACAAATAACTAAAATTTGTGATGAAACGCTATTTTGATGAACACCATTGAAATACACATGATAATCAGAAAACTACCCTTAACATCTATGCTAAAATAAAACAAAAAAATCATAAACACATGCACAAATTTCTAGATACATATGACTTAACAAAATTGAACAAGAGGACATAGAAAATTTAAAGAAATCAATTTTAAGCAATGAACTTGAAGACACCATCCAAAGCCTACCAACAAAGAAAAGCCCAGAACTAAATGGATTCTCAGGCAAGATTTCCAGACCTCAAAGAATAACATCAACCTCCTCAAATTATTTCATGAAATACAAAGGAAAGAACCTTTCAAACAATTTTTTTAAAGATAGAATCTCTCTGATAACCAAACCAGAAAAAGTATATCATGTATACACAATTTCAGACCACTATCCCTGATGAACATAGAAGCACAAATTCTTCATTATAAACCTGTCAAATACATACAAAAAAGCATATTTAAAAGATAGTACACAATGAGACGTTGTTTATCCCAGGGATGTAAGTTTAGTTCAACCTCTGGAAATCACTAATTAACTTTTCAGCTCAATAGACTTAAAGACAAGAATAACATGATTATCTCAATAATTGCAGAAAAGGCATTGGAAAAAAATCAGCATCCATTCATGTTCAAAAGCAGTACAAAGACTAGGGATAGTAAGACCATATCTCAACATTGTAAAAGCAATATATTCTAAACCCAAGACTAACATCATTCTAAATGAAGAAAAACTGAAAGTGTTGCCTCTAAAACCTGAAATAAGCCAGGTATGCCCTCTTTCACCAACTTTATTCAACATAGTCTTTGAAACCCTAGCCAGAGCAATTAGAAGAAAAAATTATAGGGATATGACAAAGAAAAAAAGACTCAACCTGTCCCTATTTGCTGATGGCATGATTGTATATTTAGAAGACCCAAAAAACTCCACAATATATATTTTGGAACTCAAAAAATTAACAAAGTAGCAGGATATAAAGTAAACATGCATAAATCAATTACATTTCCACACCCTAATGATGATTTAGCTGAAAGAGAAATTGGGAAAATTATCCCATTTACAATATCCTAAAAAAATAAAATGAAATGTTTACAAATAAATTTMGCAAAAGAGGTGAAAGATGTCTACAAAGCAAATTACAGGACACTAAAGAATAAAAATTGAAGATCTTAAAATATGAAAAAACCTCCCATGGTCTTGGATGGGCAGAATTAATATTGTCAAMATGGCCATACTATCAAAACAGCTTTAAAAATTTTAAGGCATTTCCTATCAAAATTGCAATTATGTTCTTCTTTTCTATAAAGAAAAGAATGTAGAAAAAGCAGTCATTGTATTCACTTGAAGAAATAAGGGACCTAGAATAGCCAGGGCAATTCTYAGTGAGAAAACTGAAGCATGAGGCATCACAATACCAGACTGCAAATTATTCTAGAAAGCCACAGTAACAAAAATGGCATGGTATTGACACCAAATCAGACATGAACACTGATGGTACAGAATAGAACATGCAGAGATAAACTCACATAAGTATGGTTATCTCATAGTATCCAAAGGCACTCTAAACATACATTGAACAAAAGAAAGCATCTTCAACAAATGATGCTGGGAAAACTGAAAATCTATATGCATCAAAATGAAACTAAACCCCTGTATTTCACCCTGCACAAAATTCAACTCAAAGTGAATCATGGACCTTGACATTAGAACAGAGATCCTGTGCCTACTAGAAAACAATTAGGCCCAACTCTTCATCATGTCAGGTGAGGAATCAAATTTCTCAACAAGACTCCTAAAGCACAAGAAATAAAATCAAGAGCCAATAAATGCCTCTGACTTCAATGCCCAGTATCTCCCCCCCACAAAAAAAAAAAATTTGGTACATATACACAATGGAATATTACTCAGTCACACTCAAAAACTTCTTCACAGCATAGGAAAAAAGAACATGAAGAGAGAACATAGACAACCGGAGAAAATCTTTGCCATCTATACGTCAGATAGAGCATTAATCTCCAGGATATATAAAGAACTAAAAAAAAGTAACAAAAAATAAATAAATAATAAAAATAAATACACCAAACAATAAGTGGATAAATTAACTGAACAGACACATCACAAAAKAAAAAATGTGATCAGGTAACAAATGTATGAAAAAATGTTCCACATCTCTAGCAATTAGAGAAATACAAATTAAAACTACACTGAGATTTCACCTCACTCCAGTCAGAATGGCAATAATCAAGAATACAATAAAATTAAATATTGGTGAGGATGTTTGGAAAAAGGTACACTCATACACTGCTAGTGGGACAGCAAATGGGTACAAACACTCTGGAAAGCAATGTAGAGATTCTTTAGAAAACTTGAAATTGAAACACTATTTGACCCAGTTATCCCACTCCTTGKCATATACCCAACRGACTTCCTTTCAGCATACTATGGTGATGCAGCCACATCAATATTTATAGCAGCTTACTTCACAATAGCTAAGCTATAAAGGCAACATAGATGCTTCTCAATGATGAATGGATAAAGAACACGTAGTACAATTTTGGTATAGTGGTGCAAACCTATAATCCCAGCAGCTTGGAAGGCTGAGGCAGGAGGATCACAACTCCAAAGCCAGCCTCAGCAAAATTGAGGTGCTAAGCAACTCAGTGAGACCCTGTCTCTAAATAAAATACAAAATAGGGCTGGGAATGTGTTTCGGTGGTCAAGTGCCCCTGACTTCAATGCCCAATATTCCCCCCMAAAAAAGAAGAAAAAAATGTGGTACATATACACAATGGAATATTATTCAGTCATAAAGTAGAATGAAGTATGGTATTTAGTGGTACATGGATGGAATTGGAGAGTATCATGCCAAGTGAAATAAAAATAAGCCAATACAAAAAAGCTGAATACTCTCTCCAATATGTGGATGCTAACACAAAATAGGTAGGTGGAAGTTCACTGGATTGGACAGAGGAAAATGGGTAGAAAGGATGAAGGATAGGAATGGGAAAGATGGTAGAATGAATCAGACAAAACTTTCCTATGTTCATATATGAATACACAACCAGTGTAACTCCTCATCATGAATAATCACAAAAATAAGATGTTAAACTTTATATATGTATGATACATAAAATGTGTTATACTGTCATGTATAACTAAAAAGAACAAATAAAGGGAATTATAGAGAATCATACATGTGTGTATGTAAAAAAATAAAAATAAAAGTATGTCATTAGTTATGGCAGAAATGGTCTCTGGATATAAAGAAGTAATTCAGGCAAATTTACTTTCAGTGTTCCCATTTTCCCTTCCACCTGTTGTAACACAGCACAACAGCATTCTTAGATGCCAGTGTTATGCTAATGGGCTTCCCAGTCTCTAGAATCATGAAATATATAAACTTATACTGTTCAAAATTTATACATCCTGTGGTATCATCATTGGAATTCTAAAATAATTAATACCTGACCTCTAGCCTGGCATGGTGGTACATGCATGTAATCCCTGTGACTTGGGAGTCACCGGTATCCAAAAAATTACCTCTAGAAATTAGGAGTAAACATCAGCACTATTTAAAGGTGGATAAAAATTGTGTAGTATGTAAGCAGGTCTGACTTCCATTAGAGCAGAAAGAACAAGTGTCTGGAGGACTTAATAGTTTGGGGGCACTAAGAAAATATTATTTTATAACCAGAAGCAATATGAATATAATCCAGGATGGATTATATTTTCCTCTATTCTGATGAGTCATAAAATATATTTTAATTTACATGTTATCTACAAAAAGGATCTCTGAACAAAGAAGCATGCAGAGACCACAAAGATCATGATGTGTCCTCAGTAGGATGAAGTGCAATTCAACTCATCATGGAAGACACTCAAAAGCAGTGTTACAGGGTGGAAGAATACATTAAGAAAGGAAAACCTACTGTATAATTCCATTCATAAAATGTTTTAAAAGTATAGACTGAGCAAATACCACAGAGAGCAATTCACTGGTTGCCTGGAAGGTGGTATGAGAACAGTTAGAGAAAGTATTCCCACAAGGCACAGGAGGCTTGTACGGTGTGGTGAGTTTCTTGACCTTATGTGTGCATGTTCTCAAATGTGTGAACATATCTCAATATTTGTACAAAATTTCACTTCTGGGTAGTTCATTGTCTGCCAACTATTCCACAATAATAAAATGTATATAAAAATAGGCTACAACCAGAGTAACTGGAGTACATAATGAGAACTAAGGAGAGGATCACACAGTTCTGGATCTCCTGGAAATAGGGAAGAATGGATGGAGAAACCACAGAAGAAGATATAAATTCTTCCCAGATGAGGATTAAGCAGGTGAACATAAATATTTCAGGGTACCATCATCTTTATTTACAACACATGTAATTCCCCATCAGATGTCAAAACAGATAATCAGGGTTGCACTGGCTGCCTCATCACCTAAACTTCAGGGAAACGAGACCACAGCATTCGGAATGTTCAGCATCTCAAGCTAAAGAGGAGCAATGATTTATGTTTATATGGAGACATTTTCCTAGGAACATGCTGCTGTGGATGATTCTAAGGACAGAGGAAAAGAGGCTCCTCACTCAAAAAAGTGATTCAGGAAATTCAGCTGGGCTTATACTACTGGTAGCAGAAAAAGCAAAAAAACAAGCCTGAGCAAAGCTTCTTGGTGATTGCTCTCCTGACAGATGGTAAAGGGTTATTTTTTCTTACTTCCCCATGAGTCTGGAGCACTGTGCGAGCATCAAGGCTACGGTCATAAGACTGACAGTAATAGAGAGCCTCATCCTCAGGCTGAAGCCCAGTGATGATCAGTGAAGCAGAGTTGCCAGACTTGGAKCCAGAGAAGCGATCAGAGACCCCTGAGGGTCGATTACTATCACCATAGATGAGGAGTTTAGGGGCTGTTTGGGGGAACTGCTGATACCAGTTTACAATATAGGTACCAATATTGGTGCTGCTTCCAGTGCAGGAGATGGTGATGCTCTGTCCTGGAGTCCCAGAGAGTGAGGGCTGCTGCGTTAGTACAGACTGGGCCCAGGACCCTGAAAGAGAGAGAGACGCAGAGAGAGTGATTTTTGTCTAGAAAATAGAGTAGAATCAGGATCCATATCAGAGGACCCCCACAACATATTCCTCCTCCATATCATGTCACCTGTACACTGAACAAGGAATGTGAAGAGGAGACAGGACCAGGTCATGGTGAAGGTCATCCTGAGCTCTGTCTTCAGTTCACAATGCTGAGGAGAGTTTCCCCCAAGTCTCTCCCTTGCCTTCTTAATACACTGAGAAGGGGAGGGTCTATCTATGCAAATTTGTGTCATCCAGGTTTTCTAATTGCACCCTGGGCCCTGGTTAACATATTGTATATAAAGATGCCAAGTGGGTGTGCAGGGGTGGAGTTGGGTTGGCTCAGGGAAATGAAAGGTCACAGCTGTGAGCTCTAACAAGAGAACGTCAGGCAGAGCCAGGTGGCTTATTACAGTTCTGGTTACTTCCCAACCCCTCTTAATGGGTCTTCAGTGCCCCCTATTGTTCAAGCCCATACACCTCATCATGTGACATTCTATCAGAAGTCCTGAGACAGTCTTGCATCCCCACTGAATATGCAGGCGAGTGAGCCCTTCTGTGGCCTCCCATTACCACAGGGTAGCCATTTTGCTTTCCTCAGATCCTCATGGAGAATTTATGCATAGTTCACTTGACACTTCACTGTACAGGACTAAGATGCTGTCTTCTATATAAATTCTTCCCAGATCAGGATTAAGCAGGTGAACATAAATGTTTCAGGGTACCATCATCTTTATCTACAACACAAAAGCTTTGTTTTGGGGTCTGTTGTGAAAACTTATGGGTTGCCATTTAGAAGGTACTTGTGTGCATGTTTTCAAGCTTTCTCATTTCACATGTTTGTAACACTTATTGCCAGTTAACTTATTGAAAGTGACTGAGGATTGTGACTATCAGCTATGCACAGCCATTTAGCTTCAGCCACCATTGGCTACATGCAATGTCACAGGGACCGTAGACATTGAAAGGACTAAAATTGCAGGACTTGTGAATGTTTTTAATCATGGATGAAAATGTCCTGTCTCCTAGCCAGTGACAAGGATGCAGGTGGTCTGGGCATGAATATCAGCCTTTTCTTCATATTTGTTCAATATGATTCAGTGTATTTCACAAGGGTGAAAAAATTCCAACTGAGGAATGTTTTTAAAATGTTTCATTTCCATTTTTAATTTTTACTCATTTATTTTTATTTTTATTATTGTTTGATCTTACTACTAGAATGTATTTTGACATATTATACATACATGGAGTTTAACTTCAATTTTTTTAGTTGTACATGGTTTATAATTACATTGGTCATTTGTTCATATATGAATATAGAAAAGTAATGTCTGATTCATTCTACTATCTTTCCTATTCCCAATCCCCCTCCCTTCCCTTCATTATCCTTTGTCAACCCAAAGTACTTTTATTCTTCCTTACATGTCTGACCTTATTGTGAGTTAACATGCACATATCAGAGAGAACACTCACCCTTTGTTTTGTGGAGATTGGCTTWTTTCACACAGCATTGTAGTCTTCAGTTCCATCTATTTACCARCAAATGCCACAATTTTCTTTCTCTTTATGTCTAAAAATATTCCATTGTTTATATATACCACATTTTCTTTATGAATTTATCTATTTAAGGGCACCTAGGCTTTTCTCAAAGTTTAGATATTGTGAATTAAGCTACTGTAAACATTGATGTGACTGTCTCAGTATAGTGTGCTCATTTTATGTCCTTTTTGTACAAACTTAGGAGTGGGATAGCTTAATCAAATGGTGGTTCCATTGCAAGCTTTCTGAAGAATCTCCATATGGCTTTCCAGGGTGGTTGCACCCTTTAGCATTTCCACCGGCAAAGTATGAGTGTACCTTTATCAAATTTATTGTTGCTTGTATTCTTGATAATAGCTATGGTGACTGGAGTGAGATGCAATCTCAGTGCAGTTTTAATTTGAATTTCTCTAACTTCTAGAGATGTTGAATATTTTTTCACAATTTTGATTGCTCTAGATCCCAAGATAGGTAACATGTGCCATTCTGGGGCCTAGCTTTCATACTTAGGAATGTAACTCAACTCATGGTAGATTGGTACTCTTCAATTCCAGCAATATTTAAATATAGACTGAAGTAAAAATCAAGCAGCTATTTTTATTTCACTGAGAAGAGAAATTATGAACATTCTGAAATCAAATATTTTTTTCATATTTATGAAAGTGGTAGTATAGAGATTAGAAAATACAGTATTTTAAAATGAATTACCTTTAAAATTACATTTTAAAATAAATTATACATGGAATATGAACATTAGCAAGTTATTCAAATTTATAAAATTTTAATATATTAAATATCAATCATTATTCCTCTTTTCTTCTTCTTTCTTTCCTCTGAAAGGAACAATTATAGGTCAACTTGAGATTTTTTGTAGCTTTAATCAAACATTGTGTTTATCTAAAATTTATTTTTCCACCTTCACATGGTTCTCTCAACTGCAATGAATGTTAATATCCTGCAAATTTTTCCAGCTTCACTTTCCCTTCAGTTAACAAAAGAGCAAGACCAAAAGATCTTTCTACTCCACTGAAGATATAAAAGTTTAATTCTCCTCTTCTTCATGAGTGTACATATGTCAACCAGCACATATAAAATTTTCTTTTGATTATCTTCCATAATTTTATCTTCAAATATGTACCCAGAACATTTGAACTCTTTACACCAAGCACCATGAAAATAATTATATAAAATGACCAAAGTTTCCAAAAGAAAATTGCAGATAGAAAGTAAGCACATTATGGTGCAACTGAAAACAGGTCCAATCACTCTAAAAAGCAGTATAAATATTTCTTAGAGAAATGAATTACAGTAGATGGGGTAGAGAGAGAAGATAGGAGGGGAGGGGAGGGGGGATAGTAGGGGATAGGAAAGGTAGCAGAATACAACAATTACTAATTGGGCATTATGTAAAATTGTGGATGTGTAACC